TCAGTAGCCAAGCTTCTGCAGATGCTGAGGAAGATCAGAGATGCAGCGGTTACTCATTTGAGGAGTGTAATATTTGAAGATCACACATGTTGGAATCTCCACATAACTTTTTGAACAGTGGAGCACTACAAAAAGTTCAGCCGCCGGTCTCAACCCATGAGGTCCAGAGAATTATCAGAAGTTCGGAGATTACTTGTGATGTACTCAAGAGCCACAGCTCTGAAGGATATTTGCAGACCATAACATTTGTAAGTCTTTATAATACTCAATAACCAGTGATGATTTATACTGCTCTTTGTCCAAAATAGTTTACATACTTCATTTTAAATCATTTATTCTTAGAGCAGCACGGCTGATATGCAAAGCTCACTATAATTTCAATGAAATCGAAGCCACATGTTATTGAACAATAACATGGGTGCCCACAGGGCGGTGTCAGATGGGCTGTGCTCTCTACTGTGAATCCACTTTGACTTTAAAACTTGCATATTTAGCATGGTGTTGTGTACAACTTTGAGAATTTTTTAGGATTTGTTGCCCCTGAGAAAATTGCTACCTCTGCTGATCAAAAAATTTTGGCGGCAGGTACAATTTCACAAAAAGTTATGTCTTGATGATGATCAGCACCCCTGAGAAAAACTGCTGTGGGTATCCATGGACAATAATATTATTTTTCCAATAAAAAAAAGAAATCTGAATTGTAGTAGCATATCAACACGGTTCAATTTTTTTTTAATTTTTTATTTATGCAGGTGCCAACAAAGGCTGGGGAATGGAAACATCTGGACTATAAAAATGTTGATACTGATTTGTTTGTAGAAAAATGTATGAGATTTATATAACAAATATATATTTAGGTATTTGCAGTATACATGATTGTTTTCTTCTAAATCTTTCCAGATTAGTAATTAGATATAAGTGATCTTATAACAGCTTGTGTTATTGACGTTGCTATTTTAACATCAAAAGAAAAAAAGCATTTATTCGTCAAGATAGCACAAAATGTTAATAACCCATGCTGTTATAATATCTCCCATATCCTACCAAATTTATATATACTTATACTATACTTCGAAGTTGAGTCATTTATTTTAACAGTGAGTAGATCTGATCAAAAGAAATGTTTTTTTCCTTTAACATTTTTGTGGTAAAATTAAAGTAACAAAGTTATAGCCCTTTAGAAGTTTGAGTACCGCCCTGTCTCAATAATAATATTATGTGCTCGTGTTTGGCAACAACGGATATACTCCGCCTTATCGGTTCATCGCATCGGAAACAAAAAAGCGAAAGAATTTGAAACGCTGATCACGATGTTTTTATTCAGTCAATGTGTCAGTCGGTAACGCGTGAGTGAAAGTGGTGTTTGCTGCGTGGCTCAAACGAAATAAAAAATGGCACATGTTTATGCGGATCGGTTTCCCAATCGAGTACAACCAACCCCTCGTGCCTTTGTTAATGTAGTACAACGGGCTCGTGAAACAGGTGACTTAAGACCTCACAGGGGAGGGCATGCCGGTGCTCCAAGACCTCACGATCAAATACAGGTCCGCACTGAAATACTTGTCGGGAGGATACTTTATAAAACAAGGTAAAAATTTTTTTATTTTTACACACATATTTTGGTTTAACTTCAAAGTCATATATATATATATATATATATATATATGAGCAGAGGATGTTACCAGATTACATCCAGAAAGATGTGCTTTGGCATCGCATGTTAACAACACAGGTTACTCATGAATTATGGCAGTATTGAGGTTCTTGATAAAGAGAAAAGACTCTCAAAACGTTTATTTTTAGAAATGTCCCACATTTTCATGACATTTATTCCTAACCTGTTGAATTGCGAAAAGCTAGAACGGCTACATATCCAAATTGAACCAACATTTTCACAAAATTAGAATACATTTTCTCACTCACATTTTTAATATAAACTCACATAACCCATCTTTTCAAGGTTGTATCAATATCACACATTCTGCACTCATATGAACTACACACTTTTTCCAAAACAAGTTTTTTCAGCATTTTAGTAATTTTGGGTGGAGATTTACCGAGCGTCCCTCGTATACTTTATACCCAAAGTTGGACAGGGAGGTGTACATTTCCACGGTCCGTCGCGTCACTTGTCATCTGTCGACGCTTTACCTTTCCGTGCCTTCCTCCTCTCCACGTGTAGCGGTAGTAGAAGGTTAGGGACTGCATTCCGATTGTTTCAACAAAATGTCTCCCCACGTGTAATATTTTTAACTTGTTCGGGTGTAATGATATAATTTTAATTTTTTTAACTTTTAACGAAGGTATCTGTCGTTTTTCAACAAGCCCAATGTCCCCGTCCTTTTGTTTTTATACTGATCACAAGTTCGATCTTCTCTACGTTCGTTCTGAAACACATGTCCTGTTTTCTTTGCTTGCATCACAATTGTGTTTTCAGAATCCTGATGAAGGCTCCATAGAGAATGCCGAAAGCTTGATTGTATCGTCAAAAGAGTCAACTTAAGCCTAAAAGTTTTGCCACTTTCCCAATTAACAAGTAATTGTATTTTGTACCCTATATACAGGGTGTTTCAGTTTATTGTTGCATAACTTTAAGATTCGATAGAACTTTTAAAATTAATGCATAAAGTCTATATAAACATGGGTCGAAAAATGCGTGGCTTCCGAAATACAGGGTGTTTAAATTTACTTTCTAAAATAGTTTTTTTTAAATATTTCGAACAATATTTGATGTATAACAGTAAAAATTGGTATACAAGGGTTTTTTGGTACGAAAAAACAAACCATGGGCATAGTTTTACTGTAGTCGCTAGAGGGCGCTCTCTGCTGTACCTGTAGTGTATTAAAATGACCGAAAAAATTTTCTTATTGCAATTTTTTGCTTTTTGAATAAAAAAACTAAATCTTCGCACTCTTAAAAAAGCTCTCTTGTGAATTTTCGTTGTAGTTAGCCGTTTTTGAGATATTTCTATTTCTAAGGTTCGATGCATTTTTAATTATTTATGATAAAATAACATTAAAAAGTCAGTATCTCGATAATTTTTAGAAGTAGGCTGTGCCTGCAAATATGTTTGAAATTGAAAGCAGAATAAGGTTAAACGTCAATTAGTTGACAGTTAGTTTTGTTGTCTGTTGAAACCTGAAACGTTTTTTTGCAATTGTGAATGCACGAAATTTAGTTTCTTTTACCTGTTTTTTTTGTAGAGTTAACGGATATTCATTTTGTGTATGGCTTTGTAAATGGAAACGTAGCAGAAGCAGCCAGAGAATACGCACCAAGATTTCCAAACAGACGACATCCAACTCGCTCAGTATTTGTAAGAGTGCATCGGCAAATAATTGAAAATGGTTTTTTAAATCTCCAAAGGGATCAAAACATAAATGTTCGTCAGCGCAGATTTACCCGTATGATTCTGCGTGAGTTTGATAGAGATCCGACCACAAGTGTTAGGAGAGTTTCTGGTGCCTTGGGAATTTCAGCAAGCCATGTCCGTGTTCTTAGAAATGACCATAGACGTCCTTACCATTTGCAACCTGTGCAAGGACTACAGCCAGGGGATGGAGAACGAAGAATCACATTTTGTCAGTGGATTCTTGATAGGACTGATAATAATAGGGAGTTTTTAAGTAACGTTTTATGGATCGATGAGTCATGCTTCACTAGACGTGGAGTGGTAAATTTTCATAATCAACATATTTGGTCGCATGGAAATCCGCATGCAGTTCGGGAAAGAAATTTTCATCATGAATTTAGTGTGAACGTGTGGGTTGGTATCTACCGTAAGCGACTATTTGGACCCTACCTTTTGCCTGCAAGGTTAAATGCTGCGACCTTCTTGGAATTTTTACAGGCTGAACATGCAAATATGTGGGATGATGTTATGTTAAATTTAAGAAGATTGGCCTGGTTCCAGCTTGATGGTTGTCCAGCTCATTATTCGAGAATAGTTAGAAACTGGTTGGACGAAAATTATCCAGAAAGATGGATCGGCCGTGGAGGACCAGTCGCCTGGCCTCCACGATCCCCTGACCTAAATCCATTAGATTTCTTTGTGTGGGGATTTCTAAAAGAAAAAGTGTACCAGACTCCCGTAACCACAAGAGATATGCTAATAAACAGAATCAGGAATGCATGTGATGAAATAAGGCCTTATTTGAATAATGCTATACCACGTTCGATCATTTGTAGATGTGAATTGTGTATTGAACAATTGGGTTTACATTTCGAGCAACTACTTTCGATTTTGTATGTTTGTCCTAACTATCCAATAGCATTTTAGTTGTAAATAATTAATTTAATTTGTTAAAAACAATATTGGAAAATTAAACAAATTAATATTCTGTTTTTTTGTGTTTATTTGGAGTTAGGAATTATTGCTGTGTTCAAAAACACAATCAAAACGATCATCTTAATTACTTGTAATGCCCAAATCGAAAATGTAAAAAAAATATTATTTTCCCATAAATAATTAAAAATGCATCGAAATATCTCAAAAACGGCTAACTCACAGGAAAGCTTTTTTATGCAGAAAAGTGCGAAGAATCAGCTTTTTTATTCAAAAAGCAAAAAATTGCACGAAGAAAAAATTTTCGGTCATTTTAATACACTACAGTTACAGTAGAGAGCGCCCTCTAGCGGCTACAGTAAAACTATGCCCATGGTTCGTTTTGTCGTACCAAAAAACCCTTGTATACCAATTTTCACTGTTATACATCAAATATTGTTCGAAATATTCAAAAAAAACTATTTTAAAAAGTAAATTTGAACACCCTGTATTTGGGAAGCCACGCATTTTTCGACCCATGTTTATATAGACTTTATGCATTAATTTTAAAAGTTCTATCGAATCTTAAAGTTATGCAACAATAAACTGAAACACCCTGTATATATACATAAAAAGTATAGCAATCAAGCAATCGCAGATTTATATGTACGATGCGGGATATTAATGCACAATCTGGCAACCATGTCGCACCCTCAAAAAATGGCCGCTGACAACCATACAAGTCACCGTGTTGCCATTGAATAGCATGGAATTAAACCTTGTTCAGTGTATATGTTTTGTGGTCTTACGTGTTTTGTGCCTTCTTCAGTGTATATGTTTTGTGGTTTGTGGTTATAGCCTGTGGTTACAGCATTATTTTTAAAAGTGGTGCAAGTTATTTGAATAGTTGTATCTAGTAATAAAGTTAAGAAAAAATGGTGATAGGTGCCTTTCCTGCAGCTAAATTAGGTGAGTAATGAGGTATCCTTGCTGGGGATTCGTTAAAGAAAAATTAAGATGGAAGGCTCAAATGTGAACCTTTCTATTTGTAGGGGCTCTGTTGCTAAAACAAATAAGTAAGCCAATAGCAAATGTTGTAAAGAATCAAGCGAAGAGTAGTCCAATTTTTAGGAAATACGTGTGTATGCCACCAGCTCAGTGTAAGTGAACTTCATGTTTTATAATTACTGCATACTTATTCCAGGAGCATTTATAAATTTTGTTGATAACAACCTGTATATGCCGCAAATCATTCATTCATTGTACATTTTCTTAGAATTTCACCAAGTTCTTACATTGAGGGAAGATGTAAAAACGATCTAAGCACAACATACATACTTCAAAGAAATTCTACCAAAAGCTTAATTGTTTTGCAAAAATTAAACTGGACTAAAATGCAACAACCAGTAGCACATATAAAAGCTGACTAAGTAACAATTCACCTAACAAATGGTGCATTTATCCACTATTTGATCAATATTTAGTACCACACACCACCCCCAATACATGGTGTCCCAGAGTAACATGTCAATCTTTGATAAGCATATTTTTTGTTTTTATTACAATTACACATAAAATTTTATAGAAGACAAATAAATGAAGAGCCTGTAGAAGGGTGGCTCTTGTGAGCAGATAAAAAAATAGAAAATACCTACATAATCAATGATGTAACAATAAAATATATGTGTGAACGATGGATTCTACTCATAGGATTTGGTATATCAGTGGGAGTGAAGTTTTCTGTCCTTATAATAAATCTCCTTTTGCTTTTTCAAACTCTGTATTTTACTAATTTAGGCCCGTATCATCAGTCGTCCCTACAATTGTAGGGCGCCTTTATGGCCTCCTTGATTGTCATAGTTTTCTACTTCTCTGTGTCAGAACTCTATTTTGAGGTTATGTCACAAACATCTATTTGCACCAAATTGTGCTTGCTTTTGAGTTATATCATGTTTTATCAGCCTGAAATTTCCTACAATTTAAAAAGAAAACATATGTTCACAATAGGAGAGCGCTGACATGGGACAAGTGTAATCTAGAAATTTTTTTTTGTTGAAAATCAGGCTGTTAGTTTACAAGCAGGTATGTAAATAAGTGATAAGTGATAAAAAATGCTGTACTTAGATATTGTAACTTACCTTTCTTTAATAGGATATTTTCAATCTGAACTTTGGTGTTATTGTTAATATTTGTTACAGAAAATGGGCACCCGACTATAAGTTTTATAATTTTAGAGAAACATGTAAGATGTTCAGATTTCCCAAAGATCCTAAAACAAGGAATCGCTAGATAAAACTTACAAGGTAACATCACAAAGACCATAGTGGAATTATTAATATTTGTTGGGAACATAGGAAATGTATAATTTAATACAACAAAGTCTATACTTATATTGTTTCATTTGATTGCAGGAGAACAGTTCAACCAGGTCGTGGTGCAGACTCTTGTAGTTGTGATTTTGTGGATGGGGAAAAAGAAAATGGATCTACATTATTTGAGTATAATAGAGAGAAGCAATTAAATTTCCCATCACCAGAAAGAGGAACACATAAAAAGACAGCAGATCAATCTATTAATAGGGATGTAGATATAAGGTTAGTCCTACAATATCAATTTCATTCAAGTATCTGCAAATGTATTGTGTTCACAGATCTGAAAGTGAGCCACAGCCATCCACCTCAGTACAAACTGATGAACCTTGTGCAGGAAGTTCGATGTTGAATCCATTACTAGATGCTGGAAACTATCTTCAGCAAGATTTGGAGCAAGCTACAGAGAACCTTATGCATCTCGCTGATAGGTTTTCTTTTGATGTTGCGAAAGGAAATGACAGGCTAGTACTGCTGTATACTGGCTTACCCACAGAGAAAATATTTTTTTCTTTATTCAACCTGTTAAGGACATTGATATAGCATATTACTATAAATGGAAAGTAAAAAAAATGACAAAAATCAGTTATTCATAACTCTCATTAAGCTAAGACAAAATTTCCCTCATGATGATTTAGCTGTTCGCTTCAATGAATCACAGGGTGCAGTATCAAATGTTATAACAACATGAATACATTTACTTCATGAAATTATTTTCAAACAAATGATGACAAAAATTCCTTCAAGAAATAAAAACAAGCTTTGCCTGCCAAATTGTTTCAGTAGTTTTACAAACTGTAGGATAATCTTAGATTGTACTGAAGTATATACATCTGTATGTCGGTCAAGTATGGCAACACCAAATTAACATATGGCTCATACAAACACAGAAATACCTGCAAAGGGTTAGTTGGTGTAGCTCCAAATGGGGCAGTTACTTACATGTCTAGTTTGTATCCTGGTTCAAATTGTTAAGGATGGTGGAATACCTAATCACCTGGAAGCAGGAGATTTAGTATTGGCAGGTTTTTTAACAAAGCACTTAATGCCTTCTGGTGTTAATATCAACATTCCACCATTTCTTACAACATGTCAGTTCCTTGCTGAACAGGTAAGACAAACACGAGCTAGGATTCATGTTGAACATGCAATAAGAAAGATAAAAACGTTCACCATATGAGATTTTATTCCATATACTTTGTTGCCACAAGCAGATGCAGTAATTCAAGTTACAAGTGCTTTGACAAACCTACAGTATCCACTTATAAGAGAAGTTGAACAGTTTCATTCTAAAGGTGCCCATAAGCTGTTTTGCATAAAAGTTGATTATATATATATATATATATATATATATATATATTTACATCTCCACGTGGATAGGTCCTCCTTTCATAAACCAGCAATAAGTTACCTACCAGAAATACTGAATATATATCAAATTTAATTCGTGAATATCCGATACCAAGACACATTGATCCAAGATCAGTTAAAAAAACTGTACATTAACATTTCGGATTTCCATACAAAGTCCTGCTATATAGGTCTCCCTTTCAAAAACCGTATGATGTGTCCTCTACCGGAATACCCTCCAGATAACAAAGCGGCATTAGGTCCTCCAAAATACTCAAATTATCTAAACAAGATAATACAATTGAAGTCTCCTAACTCGGGCTTGTATTCTATTACCTTCCAAGGATCTAATGCTAAAAGGTTCATGCATCATTCGAATCGCCTTTCGCTAAGAAATGTTTAAACTTTTTTGTTATAGATAAAATAAAGAAAAAATGTCGATTTTGTGATAAAATTTACGTTTATAAACAGAATTCCCTTCATCTGATTGTTAAACCGTTGTTGCTTGAAAAATGAAGTAATTTTAAATTAAAGCTGACGAATGTCACTATTTATTTCTGGATCTTTAGTACGGTAGATCCCAAAGCTTCTGTTCTGGTATTAGTGGTTTTATTTTTTCAACATTATACAGGGTGACTTTGAAGTTGAGTCATTAATTTTCAGATAATGATTGTAGAAGGAAGATAAACCAAAATATGTGTGTAAAAATAAAAAAAAAATGTTTACCTTGTTTTATAAAGTATCCTCCCGACAAGTATTTCAGTGCGGACCTGTATTTGATCGTGAGGTCCCCTGTGAGGTCTTAAGTCACCTGATTCACGAGCCCGTTGTACTACATTAACAAAGGCACGAGGGGTTGGTTGCACTCGATTGGGAAACCGATCCGCATAAACATGTGCCATTTTTTATTTCGTTTGAGCCACACAACAGATACCACTATTCACTGACACTGACTGTATACAAATGAATGAAATAGTTGTAAAAACATCGTTCCAAATTCTTTCGCTTTTTTGTTTCCGATGCGATGAACCGATACGGCGGATTATATCCGTTGTCGCCAAACAAGAGCACATAATATTATTATTGAGACAGGGCGGTACTCAAACTTCCAAAGGGCTATAACTTTGTTACTTTAATTTTACCAGAAAAATGGTAAAGGAAAAAAACATTTCTTTTGATCAGATCTACTCACTGTTAAAATAAATGACTCAACTTCGAAGTCACCCTGTATATTCAGTTATGTATGATTACCTTCGTAACTAAAATGTAAACTGATATTTTTTGGGTGTAACCTTCGCTCCTATAACCGCATGCTTGTCGTTTCCGAAGCAAAATATATGTATTTTACATACATATCATAAAAACGAATTCAGATGTCTCATGTATGTATGAAGATTCCTGAGGATAATGAATATCAGAACTGACATTGCGCTGCGACATTACCCTGTGCCTAACTTTTATATCGTGCTGGTTTTTGGCATTGCGAACCGCTTCGTTATATTTGTTTCTGGACTCGACTCCGGCTTGTCTGTTCTCTACAGTGGGGTTTTGTAAGAAGGTTCTGTGTGCCTTGATCTTCTGCTGGCGAGCAGTGTCACACGATTTGTTAAACCAGCCATTGGACCCTGGTTTAGGCACTTTCACTGTGTGAGGCATGTATTCCTCCATTCCGACGTGGATAATTTCTGTTATCGAAGAACAGACAGCCGACGCACCCGCGTCAGTGGAACAGACATCTCTCCAAGGAAAGTTAGAGAAGAAGTCTCTGAGCCCCTCCCAGGCCGGCATGTCCGTAATGTCAAGTTTTGCGGCCTGTACGAGTTTCTGCTGCCACAGCGGGTTGTGATCGAAACCTAACCTCCACAACACCGTGGTGTGAGTTACCCAAGGGGGACAGGACAGCAGTGCTGTAAGAGACAGGATGCATGGTCAGAAAGAGATCCAGCAGGCTAATGACGTGTGACGAGACGCGGGGGAAATACTAGGGCTCGTCACCAGCTGGGTCAGCCCTTGAGTAGGAGCGAGCGCTTCGACTGCACGACCTGCTGCATAGGTCTTGTTTGAGCCCAACCAAAGCTCATTATGGGCATTAAAATCACCGATAAGAACTACCTCTGGAGCGGGGTGATTGATGTTTAGGAAGTCGATCTGAAGATTTATTGAAAATAGAATACCTTAACTAACACCTCGCCAAATCCAGATTCACCTCATTCCCTCAGCCCCCCTACCCCAAAAAATTATTCGGAAAACGATTAGGAAGCTCTAAAATATTCAGAAATACTTAAAACGATTTTTAGTTTTGTCGTTGTTTAATGCTAGCTCCGCCGCCCGTAACCCCCGCCACCAAAATTTGCAGCCCTAAAATTTTCTTGGGGGAATGTCTGAAACATCCGGAAGCGAAGTTTGACCATTTTTTTCTTCGTTTGTTAACCACTCTGCTG